GGCTGGTTGGCTCAGACTGAGTCGGCTGAAGTTAAACCTGGTGAAGACGGAGGTCCTGGGCCTAAGTCGGTTCGGTTCGGGGTTGGGGCTCCCTCTCCCAGCCTTCGATGGGGCGCCGCTCGTGCCGGTGTCGAGGGTTAGGAGTTTGGGAGTGCTCCTGGACTCCACCTTATCGATGGAGGCCCAGGTGGCAGCCACTGCCAAGTCAGCCTTTTACCATCTTTGGCTGGCGCGGCAGTTGGTTCCTTACCTTGACCGTGATGACTTGGCCACTGTGATCCATGCGACGGTCACCTCAAGGTTGGACTTCTGCAATGCTCTCTACATGGGGCTGCCTTTGTCGCTAATCCAGAAGCTGCAGCTGGTGCAGAATGCGGCGGCCAGGCTGTTGATGGGTCTTACTAGACGGGACCACATCCAGCCTGTGCTGAAGGCACTGCACTGGCTGCCTATAGCATACCGGATTCGCTTCAAAGTGCTGGTTCTTACCTATAAAGCCCTTGATGGCCAGGGTCCAGCGTACCTAAGGGACCGCCTTTCTCCATATGTTCCCCCAAGAGTGCTACGGTCGGGGTCGCAGCACCTTTTGATGGTTCCCGGCCCCAAGGACATCAAGCTGGCTGCAACCAGGGCAAGGCTTCTTCGGTGGCGTCTCCTGTCCGGTGGAACGAGCTCCCAGAGCAGGTTCGGGCCCTGCGGGACCTGGCGCAGTTCCGCAGGGCTTGCAAGATGGAGGTCTTCCGCCAGGCCTTTGTATAGGAGCCGCCGCTGTCACTGTACCACCACCAAGCTGCCATCTTTGATGGTGGATTAGATCTGGAGGTGAGCTGGCCCTGGGCATACGCCTAGGTAACCAAAGAATGCATGCTGTCAGGTTAGGTTGATGAATGAACTCATCTTGGATTAAGAAAATTTTTTAACATCAAGAGCACCGCACTTTACTTAATGATTGTTTTTACTGTGTAATGATTATTTTATGATGTTTTAACTGTTGTTATGGCAATTGCCTTTGTTGTAGCCGGGGAGGGCGGGGTATAAATCTAACAAATAAATAAATAATAAATAAAAAGTGTCCTCTGTTCTACAGTCGAGGAGGCAGGGACCCACAATCTCTGGGAGATGGTCTCCTTTACTCTTGGTCCACGGGACTTCTTTACCTGTTCCCCCCCTTACCTCTACTTCTGAGGGTGGTCTGCAAAATACTCAGAGACAGCGCGGACTGCATCTTACTAACCCCATGGTGGCCGAAACAACCTTGGCTTTCAACAGTCCTCGAGTTATCAGAGGGGATATACTATCAATTCCCTCCGGCTCAGGACCTCCTCCTCCTCTCCGACTCCCCTCTCTTACTTCACGCCATACCACAATTGAAACCGACAGCATGGAGAATAACATCACCGGCTTCTCCACCCGCGTAATGAACGTCCTGTTGAATTCCAGGAAACCTACTACGCGGAGGTCGTACGATTATAAATGGCAAAGGTTCTGTTCTTCCCTAGGTGATGACGCCCCTCGAGCCGCCTTAGCGGGGCTCGAACGAGTCTTCCAATTCCTCCTCTCCCTAGCTGACTCAGGACTTTCCCATTCTTCGTTAACAATTTATTTGGCCGCTCTTTCGGCCTACCATGTTCCATTTGACGGATGTACTTTGTTTTCACATCCAATTTCAAAACTTTTTTTAAAAAGGTTTATTGCATCTCTACCCTCCTGTCAGGACTCCAGTCGCTCCCTGGGACCTTCCTCTAGTTCTCCGCCAGCTCATGAGGAAGCCCTTTGTGCCGCTCGCAACATGCGATCTCAAACTTCTAGCATGGAAAACGGCCTTTTTAATTGCTGTCACCTCGGCTAGACAAGTGGGAGAAACACTGGCTTTCCGGCACGATACACCTTACCTGTCGTTTTTGCCAGACGGAGTCCGCCTCATCCCAGACATCTCCTTCCTGCCGAAGGTGGTGTCAGAGTTCCACCTGCAGGCGGAGGTCTTCCTCCCTGACTTCTTCCCAAATCCAACATCAGCAGAAGACAAACCACACCTTGGACGTGAAGCGGGTTCTCTACCAGATCCTAAGACGGCCCCTGGGATCACGCCAGGCAGAGAAAATCGCTAAACCTCCAAATGCTTGTCCCAGTGGTCGCTTCTAATCCAATACTGGGAATCAGGGCAGGACCTTCAGGGCAGAGAGTAGCCCCCCTGTACCGGCTGCCAGCCGGAGTTAGGGCTCTCCAAAGCCCCCTGGCTAGAAGCCCGTTGTCTATGGGCTCCATGGGGGAGCGTGCACATCTTCCTACTTTAAGAAAGTTCAAATAAAGCTGAGATAAACTGCAACTATTCTTAATTTCCCCCAAGCCGCAAACTCTAACCAGTTTACTCTAAACTTTAACCAGACTGGCAACTGACTAAAAAGCAGTAGCTACCAGCAAGATCAACAGAGGGACTTATCCTCAGGGCAGCCACTAAACTGCCCAGCTAAATCTAAACCTGATCCTAAACGTTAGCTGGGAACTTATGTTCCAGTCCCAGCAGAGGAGCATGGACCTATGCAGGGCCTTGCCTAGGGTGCGGTCAGATGGGCAGGTTGCCGTGACAGTATATCGGCTCTAAATAAGCTGCTTGAGTTTGGGATGCTTTGTGTCAATCACACAGTGGCTGCTAAGCCGGCATCATAGTGCTGCGGGCCCCTGGTCGGTCGGTCACATCGGCAAAGTGCCACAACCATGGACCCATGGCTGAATGGATTTCCCCTCTAAGTCCTGCTGTGCATGTGCAGAAGCAGACCAGGGCAGATGCACTCCTGTCAGGAAGTTCAGTTAGCCCCCATATAGTTCTGAGAACTCCTTTGCCATGACACTTCTGCATGGCCCCCCTAGATATCGCCTCACTGTCCAGGGTAGCCAATTGCAGTCCCCTCCACATTTAGTGGAGCAGTCCATGACCAGGGAATTGGATGATAAGCATTCTGCGGCTCTCCTGCTTGGAATTAGAGTTTGCCTGCAGCATCTCTAGGTTCCCTCGTCCCTGCTTCCTGACCCAAACACCAGGCTTTGCATGTGCATGTGAGCACAAGGGACGCACTGGAAATAGAGAGGAATGATTACACTGCTCACGCATTTCCATGGCATGCCCGGGTGATCAGACACCCAGAAATCCGCCATGGAGCACCTCGCTGAGGTAGCCACTGGAATTTGCCGGTGGCTATTTAATCCATGTGGGAGTTGTTTTAGCATGAGGTAGGGACAACTGGGGCATGGGAGCCATATGTGAACGTTTTATTGTGCCCATTTGATCCGGAGGGTCGGGGGTGGCTATGTCAGGCCAAACTGCTTATGTGATTGCACCTCTAGTCCCTGACTACTGGTTCCTTTTTACTTTCTACCATATGTAGGGTGGGATATAAATCGAAATAAATAAATACTTTCAAAGCTGGCTTCAGCCATGAGCACTAGAAACTTGAAACTGTTTTTTAAAAGGAAAAAAAAAGCCCACTGAGATTCTCAAGATGCAGAACATGCACAGTACGGAACTCTGTCCTTATTTTGATTATAATGCCATAGAAGGGAATTAATAGACATATCTTACTTTAAATTTTACTTTAGAATAAGCTAAACTTCCCAAAATGTTTCCTTGCCAAATATACAAATACTACTTTTTCTAAGTCAACTTTTGAAAAGTTTTACTTAGGAAAGATGCTTTACTGTACCAGGATTTATATTTGATTTGAGGTGTTTCCCATGTTGAACATTATGCAAACTATTTTTCATCACTCAGCTACAGAATGCATTAACAGCGTTATGTTCTAGTAGGTGCCTATTCTTTTACTGTTGAAAGCATTTTGGTTCATAAATGTTTTTTTTTTAATTACTCAGATTCTTTTTTGGCTGTGTTTTTATACTGTCATCTCCGATTTTTTAATATCAAGTTGTTAAAAGAACTAGGTTCACCCAGGTGAATCACAAGAGCACAAATAGACCTGTGGTTAGGAGGACAGTGTTAATGACTGCAAATCACAAAACTTATTCTGAGAGGAACCTTGCAGAGACTTTCCAATCTGGCCACCTCCAGAGTGATTTATGAATTTCTACCCAGGTAGAAGAATGCCAAAGCAGCCTGATCACCTGGCCTAGTCTTGTCAGAGTTTGGAAGTGAAGCGGGGTTAGCCACTATTAGTATTTGGATGGGAGACCACCGAGGAAGACTGGAGGGTGCTATGCCGAGGAAGGCAATAGAAAATGACCTTTGCTTATCTGTTGCCTTGAAAAGCCTATGGACTGTGTTTGCCATAAGTCAGTTGTGACTTGATGGCACACAATTATTATTATAAGGATGGCAAACAGAAGGATCAGTTTGCTTTTGGCTTAACTACCACACCAAATAGTATGCCCAGGTGTTTCTTTTTTAAGGTCTCCGGTGAAGGAAAAACTGAGCAGTCAACAGGAGCCATGTCGGTTTCTGGCTGCATAGTGTGAATTTATGAGATCTTTATGAGATCTTTGAAAAGTGGGAAAGGATCTGGGTTTCTTTTTTAGCTTTCATTGGCTATAGACTATTATGCCTGAGTGGACTTTCTTTTGCAGTTTAAATGCTGTGGAGTAGTTTACTTCACTGACTGGTTGGAAATGACAGAAATGGATTGGCCTCCTGATTCTTGTTGCGTAAGAGAGTTCCCAGGATGCTCAAAGCAGGCCCACCAAGAGGATCTTAGTGACCTTTATCAGGAGGTAAGGGGAAAAATTGAATGTTGGCCCTAACATTTCCTGATGTGTGTTGCTAATGCCATGATAACTTTCTTGTAAATACATCATGTGTCATAAAGGCGCTTTCCAAATCTTTTGCTACGTGACAACAGTATTGCCCGCGCTGCCAAATGGACCCTATGCGGCTTTGCGGAATCCGAAGTCCCCTGGCAGCTCGTTGGATGAGCTAGTGGAGGACTGGCATGACTGGCTTTCCACGGCCATCGACGAGATTGCTCCCAGGCATCCTCTCCAAACTCGTGTTAGGTGGGCGCCCTGGTATACCCAGGAGTTGCGCCAGCTGAAGGGAGAGCTGAGACGACTAGAGAGACGGTGGCGCCGCGCTCGTGACAAGGCCTCAAGAGCATCCTATAGGACGTTTATGAGATCCTATGAGATGGCAGTCAAGGCCGCAAAGAGAGAGTTCTATGCGACCAGGATTGCATCTGCTAGCTCACACCCGGCACAATTATTTAGTACGATTCGGTCATTGACAGCTCTGCCACAGGGCAGGCAAAACGTGAGGGAATTGGATATCGGCTGTGAGGCATTTGCAAGCTATTTTGCAAAGAAAGTCTTGGCGCTCCGCCGTGACCTCCCTGCCACAATTGATACAGTGAGCAAACCTGAGGCCCCTTGCACACCTTTGGAGCCAGGTTTAGTGAGTTTTTGCCCACTCAGCCTGGAAGAAGTTGACAGATTGCTCGTATCTGTATGCCCAACCACATGCGACCTTGATCCGTGCCCCTCTTGGTTCATTAAAATGGGTCATGAGGGGTTTCGAGGCACCCTGCGGGAGATTGTCAACAAGTCTCTCTTGGAGGGACGGTTCCCCAAGGCACTCAAGGAAGAGATGGTCCGTCCTCTCTTGAAAAAACCATCTCTGGACCCGGCCGAATTGGCCAACTATCGGCCGGTGTCCAATTTGCCCTATTTGGGCAAACTTACTGAGAGAGCGGTGGCGACACAGATGCAGGGCTTTCTGGATGACGCTTCTGTCCTCGATCCCTTCCAGTCTGGCTTTCGCCCTGGTCACGGAGTGGAGACTGTACTGGTCGCTCTGACTGACGATCTCCGTAGGCATCTGGATCGAGGCGGTGTGGCGGCACTGTTGTTATTAGATCTGTCGGCTGCATTTGATACGGTCGACCACCAGTTGCTGACCCACCGCCTTGCCGACGTGGGGATCCAGGGGCTTGCCCTTCAATGGTTGGTCTCTTTTCTCCAAGGTCGGGGACAAAGGGTGGCGATAGGGGATCAGCGGTCCCGGAGGTGGCCCCTCGAATGTGGGGTACCTCAGGGGGCAGTGCTATCCCTGATGTTGTTTAACATCTACATGCACCCCCTTGCCCGGAGTTGCGGGCTTGGGTGTCATCAATATGCAGATGGCACCCAGCTATATCTGATGTTGGGCGGCCGGTCGGACTCCACTCCAGATGACTTTCATCGGGCGTTACAGGCTGTTGGCTCAGACTGAGTCGGCTGAAATTAAACCCGGCAAAGACGGAGGTTCTGGGTCTGAGTCAGATCGGTCCGGGGTTGGGGCTCCCTCTCCCGACCTTCATTGGGGCGCCATTGGTGCCAGCGTCGGAGGTTAGGAGTTTGGGTGTGCTCCTGGACTCCTCCTTAACGATGGAGGCCCAGGTAGCAGCCACTGCCAAGTCAGCCTTTTACCACCTTCGGCTGGCACGGCAGTTGGTCCCCTTCCTCGACTGTGATGTCCTGGCCATAGTGATCCATGCGACGGTCATCTCGAGACTGGACTACTGTAACACTCTCTACATGGGGCTGCCTCTGTTGCAAATTCGGAAGCTGCAACTAGTGCAGAATGCTGCAGCCAGGCTGTTGATGGGTCTCCCTAGACGAGATCACATACAGCCGGTGTTGAAAGCGCTGCACTGGTTGCCAACGGCGTACCGGATTCGCTTCAAAGTGTTGGTTCTTACCTTTAAAGCCCTATATGGCCAGGGACCGGACTACCTAAGGGACCACCTTTCCCCGCATGTTCCCCCAGGGGCACTAAGGTCAGGGAGCCAAAATATCCTGGATATCCCAGGCCCCAAGACCATCAAACTTGCTACAACTAGGGCTAGGGCGTTCTCGGTGGCGGCTCCTATCTGGTGGAATGAGCTCCCAGAGGAGATCCGGGCCCTGCGGGACCTTGTACAGTTCCGCAGGGCCTGTAAAATGGAGCTCTTCCACCAGGCTTTCAAGTAGGAGCCGCCGCCACTGCTATTCCATCAACGCCTTCCCACCACCGCACACCACCACCGCTGGTGCGGGTATCATCGGAGGGAGCGGGACATCCCTAGGGGACGACAGGGTTGTGGGGACATACATTGCTGTGGTTGTTCAGATATAACATCTTAGAACACCTTCTTGGTTTCATGATTTGGAGTGAGTATTGGAGCACTGATAATTTAATTTAAATTTATTTTAAGAATTTTATTTAACTGTAGTATGTGTATTATTGTATTTTATACTGTTTATAACAATCTGGCATTTATGCCTCTGTTAGCCGCCCTGAGCCTTCAGGGAGGGCGGGATACAAATCCAAATAAATAAATAAATAATAATAACAGGGAGAAAAATAGATGGCAGAGGGGACTTCATAGGAAAAATAATCTCCCTCAGCAAGGAACCATGCTACAATGCACACACAGAGCTCCTACACATGTTAGCTTTCCCAAAGGGCCACTCACTCAGAACTAGCTTGTTTATTGAAATAAATGGGAAAACTATAGAGGGTGGAGTAACATGAGTGTTTTGTAGCTCAATTGCTTGTGGCAAATCACTGGATTGAGCATAGCCTAAGACCCCCAGCCCCCAATGTTCTATGCGGCCTCTTTTAAATTTTTGTTAAAAGATTTTCACATTCTGGCAGGAAGAAAAATGGTAGAAGGTGGATGTGTGCCCACTATGAATTAAACAGTTGATCTTTCTTCAACTTCCCTCTCACTTCTGCCACCTGAAGAGCTGAAGCATTTCATCTGGAGGTTTAGTTGGAGTAAACCTATTGAACTTCGTAACCATTGGAGAGCAATTACTGGTAGCTCTGTCCACACTTGTCAGAGACCTCAAAAAGAGTCCTCAAAAGTACTTGGAAAATGTGGCCTTTTATATCTGCACCATTAGGAATCTGCAGCTTTCTTATTCAAAATCATTAATTGGCCTTTTTTTTTGTAAATGGAGCCATTTATCCTAATTAGTAGAACAATTCTTCTTAAAAATCTCAGTAACATTATTAGGAGCTTTGGTGCATGTCAACCTGTTTGAGCTTCTTGAAAAACAACTTCAGTTGGAAATAATGTTTCATTTTCTGTAGAATAGTCCACTAGGAAAGGGAAAAGAGAGTTTTAAGTTTAACCCCCAAAACACTGATAATAGCTAGGAAACTCAAGACAGACACATTCCGTATATATAACTGCTCCTTCTTTGGAGTTAGGTAGCCATGTTAGTCTGTCTGTAGCAGCAGAAAAGAGTAAGGGTCCAGTAGCACTTTAAATACTAACAAAATTTGTGGTAGGGTATGAGCTTTTGTGAGTCACTGCTCACTTTCTTTTAGGTGCTTCTGGACTCTTACTCTTTTCTACTGCTTCTTTTTTGATAGTTTTTAATCACCTGGCTAGACCTGATTTGATTTTTATTTACTATAAAAAATTAAGAATTTCTGTAGCATTTTTGATAGGACAGTACAAAATGCTTTATAGTTTCTCTTACCCTCACCGCTCTCCTGAGGTAGAACAAGCTAAGATACAGGAACTTATCTCTTGAGTTTCAGTGCAGGGAGTTGAACCCAGTCTTGCCGTCCTACCTGAGACAACTTTCCATCCATTGGCTTGTTATTAAGGAAGTGTGTCACCAGAACCAACTTAATTTTCCAATTTGAGACTTCTATTATATCAAAGATCTAACGAGTTAGAGAGATGCTTTCTGCAAAAGAAATGGAGATGTCTGAGGTACATCTTAACCATGGCAGCTGACCTTTCCCATCTTTCTGTGTTCTGCAGGGTTGTGGTAAAAAGATGTACACTTTCTTGAGGGGAACCAAGCAACTGCAGGTGCTCCGATTTCTTGGAATCTCTATTGGGGTTACCCAAATTCTGGCTATGATTCTTACTATTACTTTGCTGTGGGCTCTATATTACGACCGACGGGATCCAGGGACAGATCAGATGCTGTCCTTGAAGAATGACACCGCCCAGCACCTGTCATGTCATTCAGTGGAGCTGCTGAAACCCAGCCTGACGAGGATCTTCGAGCACACATCCGTGGCAAACAGCTTTAACACACACTTTGAAATGGAGGAGCTGTAGGCTGATGAAACAGTTCCAAGAGTCACTGCAGTCTCTTTCTGTTTTCTAAGTGCACCATTCTAATTAATCTGTATTAGAAAAGAAAGCAGACAACAATGACATTGGTATGGACAGGCGAGGATCATGCCTTCTGCCTCTTAAAACTGTGTTGTGGTTCTAACCCTACTGCTCTTTTATTACTTTTGAGTAAATTGGCTCTTCTCTATGTGTGCACATTTGGTAGAACTGTGCATGTTATGAATACTGTTCTGCTCATTTCTACGGAAAGCAACACAGCATTTTTAAAGAAGCAGCATTTTCACAAAAAGATCAGTCCTTTATAGGAGAAGGATGGACAACTGGTTTCACACACTGAAAGCCTTACTGAGAATATATCAGGAATGGAGGGCCATGGCTAATCATGGTTTGTCAGCTGAATGTAACTTAAGTAACTTTTGTATCATTGCGAAGAAATGTTGGATGGCAAACCTCATATGTTGGGAAATGTTGCACTGTGATAGGCTTATTCTGGAATTTATTGCATCGCTCAGAGTCAATCCTTTTGAAATCCTGAATATGTTTGTAAAAGCTGTGAGGTTAGAAAAACAGGGATAGCTTTCACTTGCCTCCATGCTTCTGAGCTTTTAGAAAGTATTAATCCTTTTCAAACTAATCAGCCCAATCGTGAGGGCTGGAAACTTGGAAATGTGGCATTTTTAGGATTTAGCAGGAACACATAACCCTTAGACAAACAGCTAGTGATGCAAGGGAGAAAAACTTTCAGAGGGGTGCTTATCTTTATATGAGGGATGCACATTTCCATTGGGACAGGGAGGTGGACTGAAAAGGTCACTGATGTCCTTATGTTAGGATACTAATGTCCACATTGCACTGGTTATATGCATAGGAGAATGGTAGCGTGTGTGCATGTTATTCAGAAGATGTGCACCCAGCTCCATGTGTGTCTGCTGCTGGGGTACAGTTGCATTCAGTGCAGACTACACATACACAAGTAGAATGTTCTTTGGTTTGGTGTAGTTAGGAGCATGGACTCTAATCTGGGAGAACTGGGTTTGATTCCCAGCTCCTCCACATGTAGCTGCTGGCATGACCTTGGGTCAGTCACAAGTTCTCTCAGAGCTGTTCTGGAAAGAGCAGTTCTCGAAAGAGCTCTCTCTGCCCCACCTACCTCACAGGGTGTCTGTTGTGGGGAGGGGAAGGGAAAGGAAATTGTAAGTCACTCTGAGACTCCTTTGGGTAGTGAAGGGCGGGGTATAAATCCAATCTTTTCCTCCTCTTCCTCCTCTTCTTCTTCTTCTTTCCTTGTATTGCAACAGTCAGGGTAGTTTTTCTGAGCATGCACAAACCCCCATAACCTATGGGCACAGTGATCCAAGGCAATGGAGCACCCAAATTTGCTTTAGGAAAGTATATTTCAACCCCTGTACCAAGCCATTGTGGGAAAAGATCAGGGATATATTTGTATATAAATGGTGTGTGTATGTATAGCAGAAATACAATCCATATGAATGCTTGTTTTTTTAAAATTGCAGTTTTTGTAAAAAGAGAGATCTTTTAACAACACTTTGATTAGAGCTCTTTTAAAGGAGATATCTGAAACATGATGTTTTCTAACATGATTTTAATTTTTTAAATTAAAATATTTAGTCTAAGATGAATTTTAAAAATTATTATTAAATGAGTGTAGAGTTTTATCACATTGAACTTTTAAAAAGTAATGGATGTTTTAGAACTGGATTTATTGAGTTCATTATATGTTATTTCTTGGCAAGAGATCACACACATATAGCTTGTGGTCTTCATCTGTGGCTTATGTGAAGCCTCTAGACCAATGCTGCCTCTAAGCTGTGGAGTCTTGTGAGCAAAAATTATACTTTGTGAGCTACTGGCATTAACATTGTGAATAAGCGATTTGGCTGCTGCATAAATTAGTTTGCTCTGGAGCCATCCTTCCTGAGCAAAGACAAAAAGGTGTGAGCCAGAGGCTAAAAAACTGTGAGCTAGCTCACACTAACTCAGCTTAGAGGGAACTCTGCTCTGGACCTGTCCTGCAGGTAGAGTTCCAAGAATTACTTGTTCTCTGCTAATGGCATCCTGCGGCCTGGGTTGTGAGTGTGATCTGGAGACAAAGCCTTCTTGTGCAAGTCAACTAGCCTAGATAACTTTTTGATCTCTCTCAACGCTATAATTCCATAACTACAGGGGATTGATTAGCTAACTTTTTATTCATGCTGTTTGATGCAGTGTAACGTCACATTGTAAGATGCCTGCCCTTCCCCCCTTTAGAGTGTTTGGTGGCTAAAATTGCCATATGTTAAATATTACAATGTATTTATTGAGTTGTGAAAAAGTGCATTTTACTGTATTTTCTATTTACTATGGCCTTTTACTTCCCAACTAGCCATGTCTTGCTTTGCATTCTATGACAGTGAATTCCAGTGCTCAGGAGCCACATGGTAGCTGTTTCAGAGCTTATGGCATGAAACCTGCAATGGCACGGAGAGAGGATCATCTGTAGTCTCTGACTACATCACTAAACACAGCTTGCGCTCCCCCCCAATGATGGGGAATTGAGGTGGGAGGGTTGCTGGTCCAAAATAAGTGACTGGGGACTATAGACTAATGCAACCTTTTAAGTGGCTACCACATGGTTCTGGGTCATCTGAATCCTCCTTTGGGCACAATCCTTTGAGAATCTTTGTTGTGCCTCTGCAATGTGCAATTGACATTAATTTCTGTGAGGTTTTTGTTGAATAAAGGAGCTCTGGGAAGAGTGGGAATTTATAACCTTAGATGATTTAAAATATGTTCCAGTTTGCACGGGGATTGATGAGGGAGGGGAAAGTATTGTGTAATGTGTTAGTCAATAAAAACCACTATTGTCTTATATTTTGTTGTAACATCTTTTGTTTGAAATCTGGGCGCTTTTCTCTTGATCAATTCCTTCTGTAATTTCCTTGACTGTAGACCCTTTTGCCTATAGTTATCTTTACAGGTGCAGTTATTTTCTATAATCCTTTTGGAGCTCGGCTTCCTGAAATCTGTCACAGTGGGGCTATCCAAGTTCACCAGTGCTTCCCAATTAATAGGAGCTGTCAATGGGAGGCTATTACTCCAACTAAAAGAAGAAGAAAGGAACAGGAATGTCTAAACCAATACCATCATTAACGTTCCAAAAAGGGGATGGTGGCTCGGGAATAAATGGCTGAATTCAAGGTGTACCTGAATTAGTCAATTGAACACAACAATGAAATCTTGTGGCATCTTAAAGACTGACAAGTTGGGAGTCATGTGGGATAAATGATTAGGACATTTCTGTCCTAACACTGAATCTCTGTTGCCAGGACACAGTAAGCTCTTAAGGGTTTGAACGGGTCAAATGTCCATCCATCTCCATTTTCTTTTTTGTCCCTTTAACTACACTGCAACTGCCCATAAAATTCGGCTTCCAGGAGGTCAATGAACATGCCCAGTCTTCATCAAGCCCTTTGTTGTGGAGGAGTGATGGGGTGCTCTTCTTAAATAATACTATAAAACATTTTTCTGCATATCTTGAGGCCTTAGCAACCCATTTTTTGGTGTGCTTTCATTTGATTTGTTTTAAAACTCATGCCTTGTTAAGAGGTGGCCTGCTTTTGCAACTTGCATGATTGTCATGCCATGAGCCCAGCCATTTTCTGTTATAATAATTATGACTGGAAACCAAACCAATTTGTGCATGGGAGCTTTTCGGGATTCCCATTCTGGTAGCAGCCATCAGCTCCATCCTCACAGAGAAGCATTTTGAGTGTGTACATAAAACCATGTATGTGGGCTGTAGTGCTACAGTGAATTCAGGTGCAAAAAACAGTAATCTCTGTACTGTAACACATGGAACACAGTGTCTTTTGGCTGATGTTTTAAATGTTCTGTTTGTAATGCTCTATTTTGTTCTTTAAACATAAGAGAAGCCAATGTTGGATCAGACCAATGGCCCATCTAGTCCAACACTCTGTCATACAGTGTCCAAAAATACCAGGTGCCATCAGGAAGTCCAGCAGTGGGGCCAGGACACCAAAAGCCCTCCCACTGTTTCCCTCCCCCAGCACCAAGAACACAGAGCTTCACTTGCCCCAGAGTCCCTATCTATACCTTGTGGCTAATAGCCACCAATGGACATCTGCTCCATATGCTTATCTAATTCCCTCTTGAAGCTGTCCATGCTTGTAGCTGCCACCACCTCCTGAGGCAGTGAATTCCATGTGTTAATCACTCTTTGGGTGAAGAAATACTTTTATCTCTTCTAACCTGACTGCTCAGCAATTTCATTGAGTACTCACAAGTTCTTGTATTGTGAGAAAGGGAGAAAAGTACCTCTTTCTCAACCTGCTCTATCCCATGGATAATCTTATACATCTCGATCATGTCACCCCTCAGCTGTTGTTTCTCCAAGCTAAAGAGCCCCAAGTGTTTTAATCTTTCCTCATAGGGAAAATGTTCCAACCCTTTGATCATTCTAGTTGCCCTTTATGTGCACTTTTTCCAATGCTATAATATCCTTTTTGAGGTGTGGTGACCAGAACTGCACACAGTACTCCAAATGAGGTTGCACCATTGATTTATACAGGGGCATTATGGTACTGGCTGATTTGTTTTCAATTCCCTTCCTAATAATCCCCAGCATAGTGTTGGCCTTTTTTATTGCAGTCGCACACTGTCTAGACATTTTCATTGAGTTATCTACTACGACTCTAAAATCTCTCTCTTGGTTAGTCTCTGCCAGTTTGGACCCCATCAATGTGTATTTGTATTTAGGATTTTTGGCTCCAATGTGCGTCACTTTGCATTTGGCCACATTGAACCCCATTTGCCACGTTGACGCCCACTCACCCATCCTCGACAGATCCGTTTGGAGTGCCTCACAGTCCTCCCTGGTTCTCACCACCCTGAACAACTTTATATCATCTGCAAATTTAGCCACTTCACTGCTTACTCCCAACTCCAAATCATTAATAAACAAGTAAATAAATAATAATAATATACTAAATAATAATAAATAATAAACAAAAATAACATAATCACTAATGTTGCACTCCTAAGCATGCTTTCCTGGGAGTAAGCCCCACTGAAGAAAAAGACCTGCATAGGACTACTCTGTGTCAGTACAGTATTATTTGCACTGGGACTTTCCAAAGCTCTTTTAACAATGGAGATTGTTCCATAGGGTAGCCATGTTGGTCTGCAGTACAACAGCTCAATTCGAGTCCGGTAGCACCTCAGAGATCAACAAGATTTGTGGGGTGTGGGTGAGCTTTTGAGAGTCAAAGCTCCATTTGTCGGAATCTAGCGGTACTAACAATGGGGCTTTGTACAGGTGGATTTTAGGCAGAGAACTTTGGCAAATTATAGATTGGATCCAGTGACTCCTTCCCACCAAGCTGGATCCTGAACTCCTCTCTGCTAAATTTTCCTTTGACAAAGATGTCCTCCAGTTAGTGGAATAGGGCTGTATCTAACTTTCACTGGTGGAAGGAAGTTGGCAGAGTGAGACTCTCCCACCTTCCCACACTTATTGTGGCCTACTGCTTCAGGGCAAAGGAGGGGTCTGCAATGGAAGGGTGAAATAAGTGAAAATTACCCTCTTTTCCTCTGCCAGTAAACATGTCATTCTGTACATCTAACTATTGGCAAGGTGGCAAAATGCTGTCTTTGGATCCAACCCATTCTACAATGTGCACACCTGATATTCCTTGTCTCAGAATTTATGCTTCTCTATATCTTACTTGCCAACTGGATACACGGATGTTTAAATTCCAGAATTATCCTGGAGCAGAGTTTTTGAAGACATATCTCATGAATTTCAAAGTATGTGTGGTTGCTTTCCTGCATTTTTGTTATTTATTTAGCATATTTTTATCCTGCTCTTCCTCCAAGGAGCTCAAGGCCACATACATGCTGATTTGCTGATGGATTAGGCAAAGGAAGAAGAAGAAGAGTTTGGATTTATACCCCGCCCTTCACTACCCAAAGGAGTCTCAGAGCGGCTTACAAACTCCTTTCCCTTCCCCTTTCCACAACAGACA